AAGAGCGTTTGAGAGGTTGTCACCTGACTTTGAGGAGAAAATTGGGGTTTCGGTCGGACGTCTATAGATTTGTTACACTAATTCACAATAAACTCCTAACTTTGGATAATCTGATCAAAAGAAATGTTATGAAATATCCAACAGTCTGTATATGCTTTGTCAACTTCAAGAAGAAACTTAGACCACCTGCTAACATATAAAAAAATCCAAGAACTCAAAAAGAATATATGATAACAGGCTCAAGACAAACTTATAAAGACATGGATTTTACAACATACCAACAAAAAGATGGATGGAAAATATATAGCAATAAATATACTCTTTAAAAAATAAAAAGTAAAAAAATCTGATTTGGTTAAGAAATTAATTAATACATTTATTGATCTTTGGACAAAAGAAGACATAGAAGAATAAATTAATATTCTCTGGTTACTAAAGTTATATCCAAGAGAATTTTTAATAAACTTTTTAACTTCTGATATACAGTAAGAAGATAAAACATCTGATTTGAAATTCAAGATATAAAAAGGTTCAAGAATATGAAAAAAGGTTTTTGAAAAAAGGCAAAGGAAAAGAGACCACCATATCCAAGCAGAAATCCATTGGCTTATAAGGTTCTCAGAAATAGAAAAGGACAATTCAACGATAATAGCCAACTTAAGTCATATACTAGAACTCATAAAGATATTATGAGACAAGATAAAGAAAAAAAGAAAATGATTAGAAATATAAAAATAATCAAGATTTTGCCAAGATGAATTATAGTAATGAACTGTAAGCAATGAACTTAAGTTTTTTTAGGAACAGAAAACAAGAAGAGATAATTTATTTATTTCCAAGATTATATTTAGAGATTAATTACTTAAGATGGGTATTCAAATATAAGTAATTAGTTTATATATAAAAGTCAGTATATGTATGATTATATTTTCTCTTAAAATTAAATAAATATAATAAATATTTGTTTGATTATAAAAAAAAAAAAAAAACAACAAATTCCAAAAGGAAAATTTGTATTATTTTTATAAAAATCTTTTTTTGTTTCTACTGAACCATTATTAATTTTAAAATTTTCTTTAATATCATAATAATAATATAAGATTTAATTATTATTAATTCAAAAGAATTTTTATAAAACTTATATTATTAAGTTTAAAATAAAAATATTATTTATAAAAAAAATTTTTTTCTTTTTAGGTAAAAAGACAATTAGTGCCTGATTTTTATTAAATTTATATTTAAACTATATAGTTAAATAGTTTTATACATATAAATATTACTACTAACTATAAGTTTAATTATTTTATTTTTTTTTTTTAAGATGAACATGCATCGATGCGAATCTTTATTGATACATAATATCTAGATATAACATCAAGTGTCTTCTACATATGGAAACATGTTCAATTGAAATGATTTTACATTATGATGTCTTCTATATATAGAATTAACACTGCCTATTGACTATTTCTAGTAATAGCTTACCTATCCACCTTTATTAACCCAATTATGCCAACTTACATCTCGTGGGTGGGTCCACACTTTGGGTGGGACAAATTCAGGGGGTGGGAAGTCCTGCCGCCAGTTTAAACCCAACCTAACCTGCTAAGTCCTGATTCGGCAACCTTATGGTTACTCGCTGTTGAAGAACTATAGAGTGTTATTATAGAGACCGATCCCAGTCACCCTAGTCACCTGTTATCACCAGTCCTCGGGATATACTACTAGCATAGCGTAGTACTACCGTTCTCATCACCTGTGGCCATGGCGTCCTTGCTTGGATTCCTGATTATCCTTGTTTTGATCCTCGATAGACTCACTTGGCTTAACGATTTTTGCCTATCTTCTTACCACCTGTGACTAATGGTCTTGCCTTGTGTGACCCGTATTTTTAAGCTCGAGAAGCACCAGTATGGGATAGACCTCAAAGTATCAGATTGGGATAGACTGATTTAGGACCTGCCTCTTTTGTTCGCACTATACACGAAGTCTGCTGTGTTCAGGGGGGTTGAGTTTGTGGGCTTTTATCAGAGTTAGACCAGAAGCCTTTCCTCATGCAATCTTTCCTGCTTCGACCTGTTTTCAGCTCGCGATCATCAGAAAGACCAGAGGTCCCATCTTCATGCAGCCTAACTGAATATGGATGTAATCCGGATGTCTGGGTATGATATTTGTGGCAATCCGGTAAATCCACAAATAAAGGATAAATTTATGCATTTGCTCCTTGTGGGTATTGAACTAGGAACATGCATTTGGAGACCATGGAGCACTACCCACTGTGTTATTGACCCACTGGTTGGACAAAGCACTTTTAATAAGTCAATAATTGATTAGAATAATGCAAATGAATTATCTAATAATATGTATATTTACTTAATAAAATAGAATCCATGGATATTGCGTATTGAAAATTTGAGATGATATATGAAAAGAAATTTCAAAAAAGATTATTTATTAACTCTGATGAAAAAACTTTTTACAATGAATGCATTGATTATTGTCTTTTTTATGCTTTTGGAAATTGCAATCAAACACATACAATACGCTATAATGATTATAAAGAGTTCTTCATTTGTTTCGAGGATCTTAGAGAAAAACTTCCAAATGAATATCATGATCAGCTCAATGAAGCAAACGAAAAACTCAAATATTAACTATTTCATCATGCACACAAAGTATATCTCAATGCACAATTCAAATTTTTATTGACACAACTTGATTCTGATGGTATGATAATAATAGCTGATTACAAAATGTGTATATTACTTCGATCTGCCCAAGAAACCAAACAAGAATTTTTTGAAAAACAAGGATGGACACTTTATACTATTCTTGTATTTACTTTGGGTGAAAAAACTGGTGAATTAAAAATAAATTAAAAATAAATACATTTGATCACTGGTATACTGATATGAAATAAGACACGTGGTTCACTGCATCCTCCTTTGAGGCAGTGTTTTCAATACTTTCTAAAAAACCAAAATAGATAAAAGTTATTTCAGATAATAGACCTTACTATCACAATAGTGAACTAATGATTATTATTGCTTACTGGTACAAATGATATAATGTGGAGATTAAAAGTTGGCTTTTTTTAGAACCAGGAGAAGTTAAAACTATAATTGATTCGTACCATGTATCAGTATATATTATTTGAAAATTAGTGTTATTTTAATTCTTACCATTTAATATAAAGTTTTTTATTTTTGTAGATAATCTATGCAATCAAGCAATATATTTGTGTCAGATTTGATTTAACAAGTGGTGAAAATATTATTGAAGCTAGTTATAACCTTACAGGAATCTTTCTTGCAAATTTAGAATCTAATCGAGATCAAGATACAAATAATTTATCTGATAGCATGGATGATAAACAAATAACTACAAAAAAAACCAAAAAACAAGCCAAAGTCAAGACAATACCTGGAATATCTAAATATTATCTATGGCAGTGGCCTATTGAAGGTCCATTTGCAGAATACATTTTGGCACAATTAATGCCTTTTATTGGCAAACCTATACCAATTTTCCCATCTGCTATTAGTAATTCATGTCATAAAGAAATAATCCAACCTAATTCAAAAATTTTAAATCATACAACACCTACTTCAAAATGGATGATGCTGATTCCAATACTAGGTAAGTGAATCATAGTTGATATTGATTTGTGAGACAAAACTTTATCATATTTTGATTTTATTATCTTTTCTACAATAAAAGATAATAATACTGAAATGTCAAATATTACAAATCAACTGAACTTTTGCATGGAATATAAGATAAATTAGACTGACCAATAGAGTAATAATTTAGATATTGTCAAAGACAATAGCAAAACAAGTCTAACTGAAAATGAAAACAGAGGTGAGTTAATTTGAGAAAATATAGGTTTTCTTTCGAATTATACAATTGTACTATATGCAAGTGATTTTGAACAGATAATGAGACCTTGTCTAATGAAATATTCGTTAATGGTACATATCCATAAGCAAGAGGGTGGGCTTTGAAAGAAAACCAAGTCTATGGAGGATGAGAGGTGATAAAAGAATGTTAGAAAATGTGAAAGGATTATTAGAACGCTTTTTTTTTAATGGTAATCTTCATGCCAAAGACCAGATAACTGTACAAGATATGCATAATGAATTGCAAAGATTTGTCAACTCTGGCGAAATCATGAAAGAGAATGTATCTAAAGTCTCCATAATTAAGGGATGAATTTTTACATATTTACGAACTTGAAAATGAAGTGTAACTCTATCAACTATTTAACAAAATTTTTTGAATACATTAGCAAATAGTAGTAAGGATTCAAGTACAGCTGTTTATAGATCCCAAGAAATTTGTGATGAAGATGGATTGTTTATTAATGAAACATGAATATTAGATAATAAAAGTATAAGTGTGTGAGTTAGTAGTAATTCAGATAAGATTATACATGTGGTGTAAATTATTTTGCTGTTGACTCAATTGTCAAAATCCTCAAAAATAATTGCATCTGACTCAATTATTTTATATGTTTTAATAGTGACTCAATTAATTGTGTCAAATAATTGCGTCAATTGCGTCAAGGATCTACCAATTTCTACCACATGTATAGATAAGATGGCATAAGTTTTTTATATTTGGAATCATGCGGGCAATGTTATACTGGTCACAACTAATCTTTTTCAAAGTTGACGGCGAGAAAATGGCAAAATGAATAGTAAAGAAACAGTAAATAACAGCGAGATGAATAGTGAAACAATAGGGAGATGATGGAAAGTCGATAATGGCAAAACTATAGTGAAACAAAGACATTTTTAATATTGTTTAAGCAAATAAATCAAGAACTAGTAGACTATTATTATTATCTGAGAAATCCGAATCGTTTGAAATAATATAGGTAAGATAAAGAAAATGGCATCGACTGTTTTAGAAAACTTTTTGAACAAAACAAAAAACAGAAAAAAAAATGATAATAAAAAAATAGAGTCATTTCTGCATCTATTGGTATATCTTTCATATGATATTGTTTAGTCAGTAATACTATCGTAATAATCTAACAAAATTACCAGTTGTGATTAAAGATATAGTAATCAGTGTTATGTGTTACTATTTGAGCTATTATTGCTGACTGGTAATCGACCAATTAAGTTGTTTATTTAGTATTAATATATGATAAATTGTTATTATTATTATTGTTAATAATATTATTATAATAGTTAATACGTAATATAATTTTAATAGAATATGATTGGTTAAATGTAATGTTAATTTTTTAATAAGAATAAATTATTTTTATTATTGTTAAAAAATTTTTTACATCTATATATAATTATATATAAGTGAAAAAAATATTAAATTAAAAGTTTTTCTTTATATTATTTTCATTAATAAGATATTAAATTGCAAAGAATTTAATTAAGAGTTTTATTTTTATATAGCTTGAATCTTTTTAATCAAACTTTTGAAGTTGACTTATAATATAACAGAACTTAAAATATGGAAAAAGTATTGTATTAGTGTTAATAGAGATAACTTTTCATTTTTGAAAAGATAAATTATTAGTATTTAGTCTAAATTAACTGCTAAGTTTGCTTTAAAAAAAATTTGTTATTTTTAATAGTAATAAAAAAAAAGTTTTTTTTTTAGTAGAAAAAAATAATTTAATAAGCAGTTTTTTATTTGTTTTGTTAAAATTTTTTAAAAAGAAAGTTTTTTAAAAAATTAAAGAAAACTGAAAATTTTTTTATTTAAAATTTATAAAATTATATTGTATTAAAATATATATTAAAAATATTATTATATGAAAATTAAAAAAAATTTAAATAGTTTATAAAAGTTAAATTAAATTATAAATAAATATTAAATAAATATCTTGAAATTATTAAAATTATTATTTTTAAAAAAATTACAGTATAATTTTTGATTAAATAAAATAAAAATATCTTTTATTAATATTAATAAATTAAATAAAAAAATTTTTTTATGAAAGAACATTGAATTTTTTAATATTTTAAAAATCAATTTCCAATAGTTAAATAATTTTTATAATAATTTATTTATTTATAAAAACAATATTAATGAAATTTATTATTTTTAAATTAAAATTATTTTTTTTTATAATAAGATAAATCAACAAATATTTAATAAAAATAGTTTTATTTGAACATATTTTTAAATATTTTAGATATAAAAACAAACTTTGCTTTATACTGTAGACATTTATTATATTTGTTATATTTTATATAAATATTTTTATTATAAAATATTATAATATAAATAAAAAAATTTTTAATTTTTTTTTGAAATATAAATTTATTTCTCAGTATTTTTTATACTGTAGATCAAATAATCTTTGCAAAGAAAAAATCAAAGATTTTAAATTCTATTTTAATATGTTATAAACCAGAGTTAAAAATTGTTTAGATTTCTGCAACAAATTATTAATTAATGAATTATACATTAATTTACTATTATAATTATCTATTTCAACAAATTGAAATTCAGTTATTGTTAATAATAAAAAATAGAAAATAAACAAAATCGAATTCCAGTATAATATAAAATAATAATGACAATAACAAGATTTTTAAATTTTTAAATTACTATATTTTGTAAATGCAACTATATATTAAATATAAAAAAAAAATATTATTGAAAAATAATAATCGAAATTTTAAATAATTTAGTTAAAATAGTAATTGCCAAAAAAATATATAATATATGAATTATACATTTTAAATTCCATAAAACCTAACGAGTATTAACAAATACGTATCTGCTTTTGATGAAATGTAGTAGCCTAATATATTATAGAATACGTTTCACGACATAGGATCGTCGTATGATCGATCGCGCGTTCCCATTGGTCATTTGTCTGCGTCGATCGAAAATCCAGTAAAACCACAATATTATCCAAACCAGATTTGATACTGTTAGCATTAATCGGCAAGTAATTCGCTTTCTTGGAGCAGCCCTCATGTGACACAGGTTGTGGTTTTCTTTTTATTTGATGAGACGCGATCAATTAATATAAGGATCTCTTCTTCTTATTCGCTTTTGACATAATATCTCGATACATGTGTGCACAATACTGCCAACAACGAAGTCTAAAACCGTCCATTGTGATTTTAGCATCTGATAAGTATGCGATGTCTATATTTTAAAAAGTATACAGTCAATTATACGCCTTTATTCTAGTGTTTTTTTGTCGGAGTTAATAGCATCACATGGATATATTGATAATTTGGCTTACCTCTGACAGCACAAATTCTCAATTTCACGTAAAACATCGTAAAACTAATAAATAAACTAATAAATAAATAAATAAATAAATAAAATCAGACTTTAGCAATACAACCAACATAATCGGTGTAAATATAGAATGTCTGATAACCGTATATTTAATCCGGTTCATCAATGCTTTCACGCTGAACATTGTAGATAAGTTTAAATTACTGCTCATCTCAGATCAATTTCATCATCCGAGAAAACCAAAATGTTCGCGTAAGTATATTTTCGATTCCTTACAGTATTTAACTGCTCAAATCATGGATTATATACCTAAAATGAGAGTAATAAAAAAAAATTGGTAAGCTATAATATTTAAACATTAAATAATGATAATGAAATAGATGAAAGTATTAACATGTAGGTGTGAACCATAGATAAATTGTAAAGGCATACCGACCTATCGACCATCACTTCCAAGGGCTATTATTATACAATGACACCTTTACATCAGATCGTCTAAGGTCTAAGATGAAACGTTCAACAATAAGTATTCGTCAACTTCATTTTCAAGTAAACTCGCTCGAAGTTGGCTTTGCAGGCCGCAAAGGTTTTTTTCAATAATATGATGGTTAGTTAGTAATAGTAAATACAGGTTTATGATGAACACGCACATGAAAATTTGGTATAGAAAACCATATTATAGTATCAGGACAACACAGAACCAACAGAAGAAACATTCACTTGCTCCGGAAAACAAAAATTCGAATATTATGCGGTTCGAATGTTCTCGATAACAAAATAAATTCAATGGATCGACATGTGTGGGGCATGTGTAACATTTCAATTTCTTAATATGCACATAAATCTAATGATGCATGTTTTGTAACACAATCGATCTATCAATTACATGTGATGTCGATCGTTGAATTATCTGATTGAAGACTTTTTTTTTTTTTTTGGCGTTGACTCATGAATACTGGCCGATGAATTTTTCAAGGTAATTCGATTCAAATGTCATGAACAACAAATGAAACCGATTATTCGTCTAATCATTCTGTCATTTCAGTTATGTCGGATAAATAATCTTAAGTAAAACTTGAAAGAGAAAATTTCTACAAATCTTGGGAACGCTCGAAAAAGAGATCAGAGCGTGTGAACTGAGAAAACAACTTTCTCTCACCATTCCTGTGAAGAATCAACAATGATTAAAGAAAAAAATTTTTAGAACGATAAATAAGATACAGTATGTCAACTTTATTTTCTTAATAACTTATCTAACTCGATTATAATATCGGATTTTCATTGTACTATGAGCTCTAAGATCAGGTTCACCATCAAGGTATCGTCATCTAACTTCGTCGTTTTATTTCTACGCCCATCTTTTTCCATATCCTCTCGTTCCATTCTAATTGTAAGAAACTTCTTTTCACGATCATACATCACCCTTTCGTCATTTAATACCTTAACCCCCAAGCAAGCCCTGATTTTTGACACAAAACCATTTCTCACATCCAGATGGAACCCACATTCTCCATATCCAATTAATCTGACTTCGTATAACAATTTTCCTCGTTGATTTTTCAAGTTTGTTGCCTGTGGGACATTATCAACAAGAAATTCAGTCGAGTGTACGGCTCTTGATCCATTATATTTGTCGACCAACCCAAAACACGCAATCATGATATCGAATTCATCTCCGTTGGATTTTTGTCCAGTAGCGACATCGATCGGTGAAACTGTCACTATTTCGAAATTCTCTGGCTGTACCATCACGGGAATTCGTTTATCTAATCCGAGCAAATCGATCACGCAAGTTTCCTTGTTCTGAAAAAAGTACGTTGCCCATTTGTAATGGCGGTTGCTACTGTCATTCTCGTTGATCCTTAAGAATTCGAGGTCGTGAATATCGTCGAAACAAATTTGATCTACCAAGGCGTATTGTCTACAATTCCATAGACCAATAACACCAATTCTTTTATTTTTATTATATATTTTTAACAATTTATCGACTTTTGTAGAATCTTGGAACAAGTTTGAAAGAGATGGTAGGGCAGGGCTTTCACTTCTGAGAATTATTTGCGGTAATTTCGTCGACAGCTTTATTTTGGATGATGTCAAGGGGGTCGGGGATGGTTTGGTCAATGTCAAGGGCTCCGATGTTGGAACGTTGATTATACATTTGGTCAGGATCTCAACATCGTGTTTATGTGGGGGATCCGTTATGTACATTGGACTTCCACTTATTGCTCTTGCCGCAGCATGAAATTCATTAAATCTGTGTGAGGACTGGAACATGTCCCTAAATAAAAAGAATATGTATGTTTATTGGTATCGATAATATGGTTAAATGGAAATATTCGAATGCTTACCAATCCGGCAAGCTATACATCATGCTTGTTAACACATTATTCATCGCATTAGAGTATATGTGCCATACATGTGAATCCTCGACATCGGGGAAATAATCATCAGTATTTCTACGGGTTAAATGAATAATACAAATGGTTTTAGAAGTGATGTATCTTGCATTCAGTGAAAAATGAAATAAATGAAATAAATAAATAAATACGAGATGTTACAAAACGTGGCATACCTAAATAAGGGTTTATTTGTATTTTCCGAATTCTCCGTTCCTGGGCCAGATAGCACCCACTGCATAATTTTGGGGCTATGCGCCATACAGTAAATTACCCTGTTTTCGAAATTATCCTTACAGCTTTTCTTTAAAGCTGCCTGATATTCCTTCCACCACTGTCGGTGTCTGGTTTCTCCGTTACAAATCAGATCAAAACTTCCCTGTGAATCGACTTTTAGCATACTAACGCCTTCTTTTTTTAGGTAATCATGAAAGTCGTGGTAAAATCTTTGAATGTCCTTCGGTGTGATAAGGTAGATTAGTTGATCCCCTTTTTTTACCTGTTCAACTTCATAGATGGATGATATTTTGGAAAAGGGATCGATTCCATTCCAGTAGCCCCAGAGAGTATGCCTGAATATTAATGTTGAACCATTGTTTATAAATTAAAATTAAGAAAAAAAAATCTATAAAAGACTATCAAAAGTGAAAAAACGTTACCAGACCCCAAAGTGCCTCACGTATTGAAATCTTTCTTTCATTTTGCGTATCAATCCTTTTAATCCATCCGGAAACTTTTTAGGATTAGGCTCAAAACTTTCCAGCTGATCACTCCCATTAAACTGTTGCCATCCGTCATCCAGTATGACGTATCCCACATGTACACCAATTTCGTCCAATGATTGCAGCGCATTTATTACATCTTGCTCGTGTACATTCTTATGGAACCTACAAGGTTTGATTAAAATCGTTAGTCGTGCTATGAATCCAACGGCGGTTCAACTATTTGATCTCACCGAAGAAGGTTAATATTGAACAGAAAAACTCACGCGTTCCAAGTACAATATCCAAGGTAATCGTAATAAAATTGTTGATTCGTATTTTCTCTAGATTTTCCGCCAGTTCCAAGGGTGACCTTGATCAATTCTATGCATGAACGCGAGACAATGTATGGATCTTTCCCATAACCTATGACAAATTTCGCGATACTATCATTTCCACTATCGTTTATGGTGACCAATTGTAAGTTCCCGTCCTTGTCCGTTCGAAAACTACTTGCGCATCCATCGGATATCATAGGAATCATTACGACATAGCAACCGGTGGATTGTTGGGCCAATATGTAAAAGGTGTCCATATCTTGGATATCCAGTTTACCGGTGCCCGTGACCGGTATTGTCCACCACACGCTAAAATACAGTATAAACCTTTGACATGACGTGTGTATAAAAAGATGACAAATATGCAAAAAAAAAAAAAAGAAATTTTACATACGTAGACCGTCTTATTGCAAAAAATTGAACCACATTCTGCAAACTTCCAAAATCGACGCATGTCGGTTGTCCGTTATTGAACCGGGCGTCGCTTGACACGTACCAGCAGTCAACATCGTCTTGTAAAACATAGTCGATACGCTTATCTTCGATTTTTTGATAGAAAATTGAACTTATCCTCTCGATCCCATGTTTTATGTCTTGGGTCACATTTCCCACAAAAATTCTGCCGTTTTGATTTTCGCTTATCCATTGCCATTCCTTACTTTCTTTCATTTTGTATCTTATGGTAAACTCATACCAACCTTCATCAATGTTATCAGTGGGAACCGTGACCTCAAACGTTCGGCAACTATTTTTGTCATTATAACCAACAACTTTCAAAGATTTGTCATCATCCAGCTCTTCAAAGCCTTTTTCGGTCCAGCGTGGATCGTTCAGGTTACTCCATAGTTGGACGATCAGTTTTTCGCGATGTACTTCGTCGAGAAACCAGATCGTGATCGTTAAAGGTTTTGGTTTGTAAACGAACGTTACCGTAAGGAGAGCCGGCTGCACAAACACTCTCATATTGGCATTTTCAACCCGAAAGAATATCGAAACTACGATTTTATATATTGTAAACGTGTAAAATACTACATATAAGGCTAACGAACTGTATATCACGTGGACATTTCGATTTTTTTTTTTCTGTAATGTAAAAAAAAAAAAAAAACATACACCGATATGTACATATTACGTAAAATACCCTTTATTTCATTCTTAATTATTACCCTTGAACGTTTGATTACATAAGTCAAAAGCACAACACGTAAGATATTTTTTTATGACAGGCAGAAAAAATGAGTTTGTAAAACATCTAAAAAAAAGCCACATGTTACTGCCTTTGTCGATTCCGAATGATAACAGGATGCTTTCAGATAAAGACTAGTTTTGAGGCCTCGCGATTTTTCTTTTTGTGACCAGGCTTGGTAAAGGTTTACTTGTGCTTTTCCTTATCCGAATGCATTACGTGTTTTCGGCCATCCGATGAGTTTGAATTTACAGTTGAGATAATGCATTTCTTTATTGTACAATGTAACATTGTTCGGCGCCATATACTGTAGTTATGCAAATGGTGCGTGAAGCGTAACATGACTTGTTCGGTCCGTTTATGAGTGAACAAGATAGTGAGTGCCGCACATTTAAAATGCCCCAAGAAAAAAAAATTTTTTTCCTTGCCACCCGCTGCATTTCTTCTTTCTTTTTCTTTTTTCCGTTCTATTTTGTTTCTCGTAAGAAAAAGAAAAAAAAAAGGAAAACGCCAAAATAATGGAGGGTTCCCGTCCAGACCCCTGTAGCATTGTTGGTCTCTTGGTTACCAAACCAGGTATAGCAGCTATTTTATCATTATCAATTATTGCTATTATTATTATTATTATTATTATTATTTGTCGAATAAAAATTTTAATCTGGCTAGACTTCAGAAGTTCATTCAAGTCTGGGGATATTATCGAAATTGAGTTCATCTCGGCTCCCGAAGTCACCACCATCGACGAGATTAACTTGACGATTAGTTGGGAGGGAAAAGCTCATGTTCTCGACACTAACGTTACCTTGACTCCTCCCGGCCAAAGAACCTACACTCTTAGGTACACCCTTCCTGAGGACTTGAAACCTGATGCTCGATACAGCGTTGGAATTGGTTCCTTGTGGATGGCTCAATCTTGCACCTTTTCTATCAGTGAGTATACAACTCTGTTCTCGATGCATTATTGTTTGCAGGGGTTGTGGTAATTATCTAGCGTGCTTTTAGATGAACCGAAATGGGGCCTCACGATTACAACTCCTGGGATTGATCAATACTATAAAGTACGGGTGATATTACGGATGAAAAGTTTATGAGTGCTGTATTCTCATATTTTCATATTCTCAACTGTAACATATTGATTTATTCTTTCTTTCCTAATCAACGATATAAGAGCGGTGGTCATGTTGTTGTCAAGTGGGAAGATCGTAAGTATCTTATTTTTCTCATGGGGTTGTTCTCGGTAAAATCAATTCGCCTAATGTTGAATGTTGCACCTTACGAAATCACAGCTTTCAACCTTTACCAGGATCTTAAGTTTCAATTCATCAAGATTTGTACATTTAACAGCATTAACAATCTCGTTTGGACATCTGTATTGGCTCGGGATGTTCCAATCGCTAGCGGTAGATACATCGTTAAACTTCCCGAAAACCTTACGGTCCACAAAGGCTATACCATCGGGTTTCGTGTCATTCGCGATGACCGGAATGAAGACTACTACACGTGTCCCTTCAGCATTATCTGAAGTGGCAAAAAACTTCGTTATAATCGCTTAAATAGAAAAAAAAAAAAGACTATGTCATAAGAATTTTATGTTATCATGTATGATCATATGCTCATATGTACAGTAGCTCTCTCTCCCTTTCTTTTTTATTCGTTGATTACGTCGATCGCATAATTACTAAAATCGAAGGAGTGTTTTTCTACCATATCGAGTTAAATTGAAAACTGATTATCACTGAACTAGTCTTTGCCAAAATTGGGTATTGATGACGTATTCTATGTCATGTGATTAGCCGAACCAACATTCCAATTTTGGTATTGCGTCGTCACAAACACATGAACACCGAGGTGTTCACCATTACTAAAATGGAAATCGAACATCACTCTAAATCCGGACTGAATGACAAAACAACGTCTGGCCATAATAGGATCTTCGACACCGAAACGATCACTTGACTTGATTTACATATAAAAATCCTTGATTTGAATTTTGGCGTGTCGCACCCGACAAATGGTTTGTTCTACAGGCTGTACTGTGTGTACACATATGGTCGATAAGACAAAATATATCCGTTGAACACAAATTTATTAATTAGCAAAGTGACTTGATTTTGTCTTTTTCTTCTTGTAAACTGGAAAACATGAGTAATGATGAATATGGAATATGCGAAGATTGTACAAATCTAAAAACCGGGTCTTTGTGGTGTAATACGTGCAATGCGAAAAGATTAAAAGATGAATTTCCAAAGTGGACCAGCGGCAACAATGAAATTGATGGTTATATTCAAGAGTCACAACTCAAATGCAAAAATAACGATGAGTTTGTCGAATGGATTCCTTTCGAAAGATTTAAAGATGTGGAATTTATCGCGAGTGGAGGTTTTGGAAGTGTGTTCAAAGCAACTTGGATGGATGGGTACATTGACTTTTGGTCTAATACGGACAAGAGATGGAAAAGAAATAAAAAAGGGTTAGCAGTCTGCCTGAAGAGTCTTCATAATTCCATGAATAATATAAAAGGATTTCTGGAGGAGGTGAGAATGATGTTTCGGTATCGCTTCCTTAGATTACTCCGGTTAATCAACGCTAATAAATTAAGTGATATTCTAGGTGGATAGTCAAATGAGACTTCGGAAAATAGTGTACACAATCTCCATCTACGGCATTACCAAAAACCCTAAGGAAAACGACTACATGATGGTCATGGATTATGCCAAGGGCGGAAACCTTAGAAAAACATTGAAAGAAAATGCTAATAAATTAACCTGGAAAGATAAACTGGTGATTTTACAATCTATAATCACTGGGCTTGACGAGATTCACCGAGCAGGAATGGTGCACAAAGATTTTCACTCGGGTAATATTGTCATGGAAAGTCTGACTTGCGCATGCATCACGGATTTTGGCTTATGCAAACCAATTGGTGGAGCTCATGACGCCGAAAGCACAAATATTTACGGTGTACTTGCTTATGTAGCGCCAGAGGTATTAAAGGGTCGAGAATATACAAAAGCTTCGGACATATACTCCTTCGGAATTGTTATGTCCGAGGTTCTTACTGGAAATCCGCCTTATCACGAGATTCCCCATGATGGAAAACTTGCAACGAAAATATGTATGGGTTATCGTCCTAAAATCCGGTGTAAGGTTCCTCAGTTATTTTTGGATTTGATGAACAAGTGCCAAGATGCAATACCCGAGAATCGACCAACATCTCAAGAAATACATGAAACTATCTACAAATATTGGGTGGATCTGTTTGATAGTGACAGCGAATCTGAAATATCCAAACAGTGTAAAGAAATCGAAAAATCTGGTGCAAACTTATCAACACATGATCCAGGCAAATCGACAGCAAGCAATTACACCACTAACCTGCATTCTATTTATACAAGTCAGCTTTTGGATTACAGGAATCTGCCCGAACCTGTTAATAGTACAGCGGGTAAGATTATTGTCGAATAAAATCGATCCATTAGCTGAAATTAGGGACTGACATGATTACTTGTTATTTTAAACAGAGATCAAACAACTTGAATATCGGATCCAAGACATTTCTATAGTCGATGACGAAGACGACGAAGAACAATAAATGTTAGGAATAATCTCTGTGCATACAATCACAGGCACTAATTTCTCATTATACGACTGTCAGAAAATGCTGTATAAGAGGGTTTTGAATTATTATGAGCACTTTCTTAGACTGTAACAAAATAGCCTGTTCTCGAAAATTCCCAAATACTGGCTAATTTAAATCTCGATTACTTTATTAAATTAATTTGATAGGAATCCTGATGTGATTGCAAACATCAGACATTAATCTAGTTAATATCGCTCAAAAAAAAATATTTTTTAAGTTTGCATCATTTGTTTCTAAACATTATTATTTATGCAGTTTGTAATGAAATAAAAATTTTTAGAGTACCTAATTTTGAAACATTGTTTTTACGAACAAGAGACTTGGTAAGAATTCTTTGAGAAAAGATAGACTTTGGTGTATTCGATCAAACTATAATATTGCAATCTTGGTAAATAATTAATACTAAAAAAAACATTATTATCATTTTTTATGTTGTACAGTATATTGCATATTAATAACATCATTCTTGAGATACAGTATAATCTACAATATAGATAAAGATATAATTAAAATATAGTCCAGTTCAAAAAAAATCCGAATATATTTTTTTTCATAATTTGGTAAATAATAATTTAAATTAAATAAAACTTTTAATATACGGTATATATTATTTATAAAACAAAATAATATATTAAAGTTTTATTAATATTAATCCTTTTGCCAATCCAAAAAAAACAGATATTCTCAAAGATTTTATATCTTTGTAATAATAAAATCTATATACTTTCTTTAATAACATTGGTTTCTTAACTAGCAGAGTGAGCAGTAGCTATTATTTGTTCTCTTTTTCTTTTTCAAAACATTTTACTTTTTTATTTTTGTAACTAAAATACAAAAAAAAAACTGATAAGAAAAAATGCTATCCAAAAATTTCTATAAGATTTAAGAATTCAAAGAAATAAGAAAAAAAAAGTTTTCAATCTTTTAATTATCTCTTTAGCTTTCTATTTCTTTTTCCTTAAGCATGTTTCCTTTTTTTTTTTTTAATTTTTCTGAAAAATTTAATTTATTTCAATTTAATCTTGAAAATAATTGATTAAAATTACAAATTAATCGATTATATCAGTTATAAAAAAAAGTAACCAAAATATATTTTCCAATATATTTTCAATTATACAATATTAAACTAATAATGTAATTAATTCTTAAAAGAATTGAATGGTTTTTAATTTAAGAATTAATATAAAAGAATTAAATAAAATTAAAGTTGTAAATAGAAAATAAACTTTTTTGTTTATTTATTTATTATTATTATTCTTCTTCTTCTTTTCAAAAGATTAAAAGTAATTATAAAATTCAAGTTATATTTAAATCAAGTAACAAGTTAAATTTACAATGTTTATCTTGAAAAAATTGAAAAAAAAAATCTTAAGACTATTAAAAAAAAAACTCTTTCCACTAATTATAAAAATTCTTAAAAAAATTTTTTTTGGTAATATATAAACATTCCAAAAATATTAAAACAAATATCCAAAGTCTATACCAAATATTTTGAATTGGATGCCAATTATATTTATTTAAAGAAAAACTACCACCTAGCCATTTCTAAGAATAAGATGTTAAAAAGTCACATTCTTAGAAAACATCATGATATTGATATTGCCAGATATTTGGATATTAATAAAATCTTGAATACTATTATAAAAAGTTATTATTGATAAAATAAGTAATAATATATAAAAAATACATACTAATATATGACCTGTGTTAACAAAATAAACTAGCAATTAGCAACCTATCAGATTACTACAATCTCTATTAATATCAAATCATAAATAAAAAAAAGTTATTATAAATTTATTGTTTAACTACTTCTTATCAAAAAGGAACATAATGCCATTGTTGTATTTATTAACTGCCTATTCAAAAAAGCTTATTTTTGCTTAATATATACCTTTGCTACTATCCAAAAAGTCTCCAAGATCTTTTTTTTTAAAATTTTAAACATTATAAATTACTAAAAGCCATTATATCGAATAGAGATACTCAATTCATTAGCTATTTTTGAAAAGTCCTATTTCAATAATTGGATATAAAAACTGTTATATTTATAGCATTTTACTCTCAAATAAATGGACAGACAAAATGTTTCAACAAAATCCTGAAAAAAATACTACATATATATGTTACTTACAAGAAAGACCAATAAATAAATACTTGCCTACTGCTAAGTTTACATAGAAACAATATAAAATAAATATTAATAGGTTTATACCTTTCGAGTTAGATTATAAACAACTCTTCAAGATATCTCTAATACTTGTGATACCAATATTCATGCTGATTACCAATAATTTCATACACTACTAAAATATTATAATCAAGATTATTAAAAATATCTTAATAAATATATAAGACTATCAAATAAAATATGTCAATTAATACTGATATTACCTGATATTCAAAAAAGAAAACCAAGTATTATTATCTCTATAAAACTTTAACAATCTTGTGAATTGGAACCATTTCATCAAGAAATTGATATTAAGATTTGTGGGACCATATATTATCACTAAGGTTATCTCAAAAATTACTTATAAGTTAAAGTTATCTACTACTCTAAAAATCCATCCTATATTTTATATCTTATTTTTTTTTTTTATAGATGAATATGCAACAATGCAAATCTTTATTGATACATGAGTAATCTACAAATTACATCAAGTATCCTTTTACAATTGGAAATTGTACAGTTTGTACTGATTATATAGTCTACAATTGTAAACCAATACTGCCTAATATTTTGACATATTAACTTACCATCCATCTTTTAACCCAACTATGAGAATTATATACGAAATGTGGATCCAACATGTTAGGTGGGATTTCTATAGGGGGGAATGCCTACCACTAGTTTAAACCATCTAACCTATAACCTGTTTTTTGAGAGCTAGTGTCTATCCCGCAGTAGTTTGGTCATCGGATTTCCGGACATCACGATACTTTTTGTTTGGACCCTTAGAGGTGATACTTGCTTCTTGTCACCACCTGTGGCTTCAGTAGATTCTTTTCACAGGACTGACTTCTTTTAAGCAAGCGCCAGATTGGGATAGCTCCAAACTAGAAAATCCTGGAATGGTCAGATTCGGCCTATTGGATATGACATACATAGGGGGTCTGCATAACCTACATATGAAGGAACTTCTCGACGATTATCATGCACCAGCTGGATGATCGTTACGCTGCGATACCTTAATGGGAAATCACAATCTAAATGCCTTACCGGATTGGCATATGAATGGCTTCTTATGAGAAATAGCATATGATTGGTTATGGTGCCAGATATTATATTAATCCTATTCAATCGCCTTCACCTGGGGTTGAACTGGTATTTTGTGATCTGACCTGTGGAGCACTAACCACTGTGTTATAGACCCACAGGTCTATTTTATATCTTATTGCTCAAGCTATTAAAACTATTATCAAAGGAATTTAAAAGACCAATATCACTACTAACTATCTATATCCTTACAATTAGAATAGAAAAGTATAAAGTAAAAACTATTTTGAACAAGTGAATTGTCTGAAACAAGCCCAATACCTTGTCAAATAGATTAAATACTCCTTGTATAATGTCACTTGAAAACTTCAAAAAAACCTAATCAATATCCAAGAAAAACTCTAAGAATTTGAATCAATAAGAATATTGAAATTCTAAAGAAGAGAAAATATAATAATTCTAACCTTGATTGTGCCATGAGATTTATACTGTATTCTGTAAATTGAATATCCAGAAGGTATCTGATCCACTCCTAATGATCTGCAAGTCTAAGATATGTTTTCAGACGATTGTTAAATATATATATAATACGATTTTGACCTTGATAATAACATGTCACCTAGTACCACCAATTAAATTACAATAAACTAATGTAATTAAATTAAGAGCATAAGGCCATAGAGTATATATATCTTTTTTATTTTATTTAATTTTATTACTTTTTTATTTCTTTATATTAATTAAGTACATATGTTTCTGGAGGTTAAGTTTAATATAAATATACACTACATGGACAAAAGTATTGTATATCTTAAATTTATTATTACATAAAAATATATATAATAATTTTATTTGAAATTTTAATATGTTATTTATTATATTTTGAATATATTTATATATAATTTTTATATTTTTTTAATAAATATTTATCAAATTAAATACAAATAAATTAAT